GTATTCTTTCCGTTCAGTGACCCTTAGTTGAATATTTAACTTGACAAGAGGTGTTTGTATGCAGTTTCTTTAGTAGGAACAGCAACCTCAGGTTTATTCCTTGTTTCTTCAATTTAGTCCATAGTACACTCCTCGGAATAGAGTCAAAAGCGCTTTTAAGATCTATAAATGCTATAAAAAGCTTTTTCCTTCCTAAATTCAGGTATTTTTCAGTTAGGAAGTTCAGTGTAAGGCAGTGGTCAATCGCAGAATTTCCTTTGCAGAAACCTATCTGTTCAGGCCCGATTACATCATTTGTATACATCCAATCTAGTAAACGGCATTCAAGATGTTTAGCGTAAAGCTTGCCTAAAATAGATAAAAGGCTGATTGAATGAAAATTACTGGGCTGATCAAACCCACCTTTCTTATAGATTGGAATTATTATCGAATTGAGCCAGGTATTCGGAATTTTGCCGTAATGATCAACGAGCGTAAATAAGGAAGGCAACAGCTGGGCCCACCAATCAACATATTTTTTAAGTAGTTCAGCTGGGAGCCCATCTGGGCCAGGCGATTTCCCCATTTTTAGATCAACAATTAATTCGATGATTTCGTCTGTGCTCACCGGAGGCCACGGTGGTAAATCTAAGGCAGTGGGATCATCTTCCTCATTGTAGGGAGCTACAGGGGCATCATACAATGTTGAGAAATGTGCCACCAATTGCTGAGGTGTAATAGCAGGGGTGGCAAAAGAGGAGTTATCACTGGGATTGCTCGAAGTAAGTTTCCAAAAAGATTTACTATCCTTGCATTTGATAGCCCTATACAGTTGGTCCCATTTACCCTGAAAAAATATTTTTTTTCCCCTAATGATGAAGTCTTGGAAGCTTGCCTTATGTTTTAAAAATTCATTATATTTGCTAGAGTCTCCAGCCTGGCATAGTTCTTCAAACATGCATCTCAATTTCTTTTTCCGGATATGACATTCCAGGTTGAACCAAGTGGAAGATTTTGAGACAGCTACCTCAGCAGGTTTAGCTTTTAGACTACTTCTGCTAATTAAGCAAGAGAAGATAGAAAGAGCATCTTCAACTGAAGTTGAGTTAGTTAAATCCACTTGCAAGCTGATCATTGGTTCAGATCCAAGTAAAACATGAAAATCCTTTTCTAAAGCTGCAGACCATCTAATTCTTTTAAAGGCATTATCAGAGGCATGACTATCATAAAGCGATATACGCTCAAAGTTTGATAAGTTACATTTTAAAACTACAGTCAAAGGCAGATGGTCACTTTCAAGGCGGGGTTCGATGGTCAAATAGGAAATATCGCACAATGGGCTATACAAGCAAAGCATATACTCTATTACAGTTTGACCCCTTGCGGAGCTAAAAGTACACCACTTTGAGTCAGGGTTTGCTGACCCAAGTTTCCTGCAAAAGAAGACAATCAAAAGAAGTTAAAAAATTTATAAAATCCATGTCATGCATTTTGTTTCCCCACCCCACTATATTCCAAGAAATCAAACTCAAGGAATCAGAGGGGGTATAAGTACTTAGTCAGTCCAGCTCAGTTACAGAAGGATCATCGAATATGCAACCATTTGGGGAATGGACTTTGAGGCAAAATGTACGGCTTCCATGTTTGTAAAGCTTGAGTCAATCAGTAACTCCTGGGGGTTAGGAGTAGCCAGACTGGTCTTTAGGCCTTTAGGGATCATTAGGGTAGGCTTCGCATGAGGACTCAGTGAAGAAAGGATCATATTCTCTTTGTTGTTCACTGCAGGGCAGGAAACCTCATCATCTCTTATGTTTTGTAGTCAGTTTTTTATTAATTCGAATCTTTCTAAAATCATTTGTTGATCCAGAGTGGGTAAGGTTCCAAAAGAACAAAGAAGATCTTCTTCAATTGGGTTTTCCAAAAAGTTGTAGAGTCTGCTGTTCTGGGGTTGAGTCCACTGTTCACCGATGGGTTCTGAAGGCTGTTGGAATTCTTTTGCAGACCTGTCTATCGGATCGGTCACCGCCAGCTGAGGGAGCATTGACTCCCGCTGCTCTTGTCGGAGTTCTTTGTTGGCTGGCTTAGTCGTTGGCCTCTTAGGGAATAGAGCTTTGACCGTTGTATTAACAAAAACATGTGTTGAGAAAATCCCTTTTATCCAAAGGTGCTTTTGATATTTTTGGATTAGTAAGGGCAGTCTAGCAGACTGAAATACTAGCATAATTCTTTGTGCCCATGGAGTCTGATTAAGGAGTTCTACTGATTCCAAATCAATCAGTTGAGGTCTGATACGAAGAAGTGCATGAAGATGGGATTTAGCCTGAAATTTGTTTTTCCAACTTGGAATTTTCCCTTTCTAAGTGCCCACTGTTAAACAGACTTTGGTTGGTTGTAGTACCAAAGATTGGGTATAGTCTTCACGCTCTAGCAAAGTCTCTAGTTCGCT